AAGGACCATGAAATTAGTGCACCTTAATTTTTTTCCAGCCAGGATCATAATTGAGCCTGAGATGAATATAGTATTGCAGAGCAATTGAAAGAACAGCCATAAACTCAGTTCCAGGAGTGATAACATTGGAATCAAAAGTTTGTGATTCCTCCTTAGGCGGTAGCTTTCTACCCTCACTCTCAAACTCTTGTCTTAGCCTCTCTTCTTCAGCTGCCTGCATATGGAATGGTTATAAATCAATAACCATAACACGATTTACCTCCTATCATGAGGCTTTTTTTTTTTTTTCCTTATTCTGTAGAATAATCAGAACTGAGATAATAAGAAGATTTGACCAACAAATTAGAACTAACCCTCCCTCTGCCTACACATGGAGAACCAACTCATTATTCACAAATGCACATACCACATCTGCTGCATCTTTAGCTGCTCTAAAACGCCTAGATCGTTGCTGATTCATTTTAGCCCGAGGAGCAACACCATCTAACAATTATTTTCAGATGATCAGTATAACATACACTCATAACAGGATATAAAAGGCCATTTAGGCATTTACACATGCTTTCTAGTTTCCAGCATCAAAAAGTTATCAGAAAATATATACTTACCAATTGCCATGTATAACAATTTTCTAGGTCTCACCATAACAAACAGTCTATCGATGTAGTCAAACATGCACTGGAATACCTCATCGAAAGAAGTTGGGGAAGGCTGCAAAAGATAAACCATAGATTACTTAAGCATCATAATTACATAGACAAAGTAAAACGTGCACGGGATTACAATCTGTATCAAAAACCATGTCAAATTGTTGCATCCTTTTAAATATCCTAGCATGAATAGGCAAGTGAAATGAAAGTATCTCCCTAGCAAATTCCAAAAAACTAAAGAGCTGAGTGCATGATTAATAATACAAACAAATAACACATTTTCATTTCCCTTACTTGTAAATCGATTATTAAACATAAAAACTACTGAAATTGACAAATTTATAGCAGAACAAGTTAAAACAAGAAACCAAGATAAATCATACTCTGTCTTCAGGGTGGAAGCAAGGGTGAACGATCCCATTCATGTCAAGATACAAATTATCATATTCGACGTTGTTAAGGTTAGGCCTACTTGTATCCACTGGAATCTTAACTCCATTGATAACCACTGATTCTTCCTCAATTACATCCACCACAACTAATGGATACTTCTCGGCCAACCACCGATAGAAAGCCGGAACTCCCATTGCCAGTCACTCAAGCTTTCAGCTTTGTGTGTGGACAATTAAATCAACGCGTACTCGCAGCGTAGCAGCACAAGTTAAATCCTAGCCCGAACTGGCAAAAAAAAAATCAAAGGAAAAGAGACAAATTACAGAATTACATGTGCACTTATGTTGCAATCAGGGATTACTTGTCAAGACAATGAATTACAGATTTCTGCAGCATGTTCACTTAATTTCCACTCAATGAAAACTCTAGAACATCAATTAAATCATAAAAGCAGCATCGGCATGAATTCTATTCAACTCTCCCAGCCATAAACAGATACACCAAGTACACATTTTCAAATCAATATCATTTTCTCCTCATATAAACTCGAACACAGATTTCATTGCTCAAATTCAATCATAAAAAAGTTAAAAAAAAAAAAAAAAATTCCTTAAAAAACTCATAAATAAATCATAATAAATATTATTAACATTACAGTTAAATCATCATTCAGATAAAACATACCAAACGTCAAGCTAATTCTACAGAAACCTAAGACTACAAAACCTTCAATCTTATTTAAAATACATATTTTTGTTATGATTTTCACTATTTTCGTTAAGCCCAACTTAAACAAAGATTCATTTCTTCCCATTAATCTCTATGAGCTCATAAGTTGAATATGATCTAATTATATATATTGAAATCTAATTATATATATATATATATATATATATTAATATATATATTATATATAGTATTATAGTTCTACAGTTCTGGAAAAGATAATTAAAATTAGGGATCAGCTAAAGGTACCGATATATTCTACAGTTTGAAGATTTAAAATTAGGGATAGCAAAGGTACCTGCAAAAAAAAAAACTACCCATTCCTGAACCCATGTATATAAGGTATCCAAGTCTGTTCAAAATTACCTTACATTACCCATACCCGTCCAAATCCAATTGGCATTACCCGTATACTACCCAAACCTGTATAAATACCGGTTAACACAAAATGACCAAACACATAAAAAGATTATATACAATTCAACTAAATTCATACAGTGCATGAGCAGACAAATATGTCAACAAAAGAATTACACAATCAAAATCCAATAAAATACAACCAAACATCATAATGTATAGACAAAGGTATATAGAAGATACACATGCAATAAAGCTCCAGTTGGTGGAAAAACTTTTGACAAAATGGGAATTAAATTCGAAATCCAATACCTTCAAAGATAATCAACTAAATAGACAATACTGCAATTTCTTTTTGAAATCCAAGGAACTTAACTTGCACTAAGGCCCAGACTCAAAATATCACCCAAACCCTAATCTGCTCGTCACCTAATTTAAATCCAGATGATTCACTAAATACCAGAATTACTCGCACAGCTATTACATAACCCACCAGTGAAAGTTTCAACTTTCATAGTTGAATTTTCCTACATCAAGCCAACAATTTCTCTCTCTATTTCCACTTGACCAGATAGATTTAAGCAAAATATATTTACAACAAGGTTTCAACATCTAACAGACAAAACATATTATTCGTATGACATTCAAACATGTATCAATAAAAAAAATCAATCAAAATTAAAATTCAGAGCAAAACTAATGTGAAAAAGATAAAAAGAAAAAACACCACACAATAATCCATTGCAACTACAATAAATTCACAAACCTGCAGACAATCTATCTATACATTATAAGTGGCCACAGAAACTGCCATTAGACTTATATTAGTAGCAAATAATATTCCCTGATTTCCCAAAATCCTCCCAATAGCAATAGCACCATTACCAGCCCCTAAATCTGCCCGCAGACCTTCTCTCAACTCTCCACAATTCCAACTCACATCTTTCACCAAATCAACATTTTTTTTAGTTCAACTTAGCCACCAGTTTCAAAAAAACATGTCTCTACTTAAATTCCTGAAAAAGTTAGCACAATAGATGGAAAAACCAGCAATCTCATTCATTTAGCAATTTTTACTGCAAAATCTCCATATCCTATCGAGCTTAACCGATATCAATAATTCATAAAAAAAAAACTTTAAAAAATTCTCAAAAATAACTCAAATTACAAAGAGGAGAACAGAAAAAGCTTACTGCTCCTCTTCAACGGCGAAATGGAGGCAAGAGGAAAAATGAGCTAAAATGTTGGTTTTTAGGTCGTCAGATTCAATGAGCCACAGAACTCGTTATACGACGGAGATGGCCGCCGGTGGAGATTGAGGCAAAAGGTAAAATCGTCACCTTTGGAGACCCAAATCAGCTTTGTTTGAAAACCCTTCATCAAAACGGCGTCAGAACGCTCCCACCTAAAACTGCACCGTTTTGATGATGCATCGCCCTTGTTTACCCCTTTGTTATTTCTTTTTCCGTTGTAAATTGCCAATTTTTCTTTCTTTTTTTTTTTTTTTGTGAAGAAACCGTTTTTTATTTGTTATTTCTTCTTTTTATTCTTAATAACTATAACTATACTAATCTCAAGCTATACGAGTTGAATTCAATGTAATTTGTTTTTTTTTTTTTTTGATAAAAATATAAATTATCTGTTACTAGTTGCGATGTTTTCATGCGGGATATAAATATACCGTTTAAATAATATTATTTTTATTAAATTATATTACTATTTATTTTGCTTAATAAAATTTATAATTATATCAAATAACATTAACAATTAGCATTTATCTTTATTCATAACGGTATAAATATTTATCTCTTTTTTTTATAAAGAAATACTTGTCTCCTTTTTTATAATCAGAAATGTAATATCTTTTAAGTATTTTAATTTTATTGATTAAAAAAATAAAAACATTAATTCTTGATTGTGTTAGCTAATAATTGAAATTTAAAAAAAAAAAATCTTCAGTTTGATTGGTTATATATTGATTTCCTATTTAACTTCAAATCCTATTATAGATTATAAATATATTAATAATTTTTAAAATGATATTATAATTTTAATTGGCTAAAAAATAAAATCTATTATTTACAATTGTTAGAATATGTATTGATTATTCTAAAAAAATTATCTAATTGATTAATTCATTTTAAAAAAAGAAAAAACAATACAACAGTACTCATTATACTAAAAATTATTAAAGTGCCTTTAGTAAATTTAAGAATAGATATAAATAATTTTAATAATTTTAATTTTATTGATCGAAAAAGAGAAAAACATGAGCATTCAATGTACCGCGAAAATATATTTCACTTTTTTGCATTGAAGGACGCCAACCTAATTGCTACACCGACCATATATGTATATAACTCTAACTAAAGGTCCTAAAATTCTTGGCATTTTTGTACTATTTGATCCGTGTGTTTTTTTTTTTTTTTTTTTTTTTTTTTTTAGCATCTCGGATTTTTTTTTTTTTTTTTTTTTAGCATCTCGATGCATATATAATTAAGGTTGGTGTCTTATTTTTATTAATGAAGTGGTCTCAAAATAATATTTAACCTAATCTTTAGATATAATTCATAAATACAGATTTCTAAAATCTCAATAGGTATCTAAAAAGAAAATCAAACAATCAATCAATTTTCAACATTTGCCCTCAACCTCAAATCAATATCTATATATAATTATAATGAAAAATAATATTTCATCCGTCCCAAAAAGATAATTCATTTTCTATTTTCACACAGATTAAAAATAACAATCATTATGATTAAAGGACAATTTTATTCATATAATTTTTCTATTATGGTCATCTTAAATAACACATAAGCAATTATTATATTGAAATAATAAATAAAAATTAATGAGGTTTTAGTAGACAATTTAATGATTAACTATAATGCAAAAAAGGAAAGTGGACTATATTTTATGATAAACCAAAAAAGAAAGATTGACTATCTTTTTGCGATGGATGGAGTAATAAATTATTTTTTACTGCTAAGTAAATGAAAAGAAATGAGAATATGATTTAAAATGATAATGGAAATTACTTTGACTATAGTGGCTATATTACTTCTCCAGAGTATCAGAGAAAAGAATATATGCACATACACATAAATTTTTGAAACACCAAATATTTCTAAACACTATTTTCTTTTAAGTCAAACAAACTTAGGACAAAAGAGAAAAAATATGAATAAAATTAAAAATGCTTAACTACCGATAGGCCATTTATTTATTATAAGTAAGATATAAATCTTTTATTAAATTAAAATGATAGTAGTTATAAATTATTAAAAAATAAAAATTTATTATTAAGAATAAAAAATTATTATTAAAATGAATAAAATTCTTCAAAATTACAGAACAAAAAAACTTGTTTCAATTATTATTATATATAATAATATATATATATATATATTTTAAAAAAAAAAAAATTGATTCTTAAAATTATTTGTTTATTCCAGGTTTTCAAAGGATTGCAAAGTTCTATGTCGGAAAAACTTACTTTTTTTAAAATTTATATTCAATCAAAAATCTTTATAAAGATTAAAAAAAAATATTTAATAAAAAATAATATACTTTTCCTTTTTTTTTATCTCTTCTTCCTAAATAAATATTATATTATATTCTAATTTGAAAATTTATTTTTAAAAAAATTATATCCAAATCCAAAATCATACCAAACAATAAAGAAAAAATATTAATAAAAAGAAATATGTTTTACTTTTTTTTTATTTATTCTCCTAAATTAAAAATAATTTTAAAATATAATCAAAATATAATTTAAATTATTTTAATAAATAAAAATATAAAAAAATTTTCAAATGTTTCATTGTCATATATTTCATTAAAAAATTAAATTTAGTAAAGGTAAATTAAAAAATAAATTTAGTAAAGGTAAAATTTAAAATTTTGAAATGCTTAATTATCTATAATATTTATTTAAAAAATAATTTTTTATTATTGGGAGGACTGATAGGCCTAAATAATACTGTAGGATATACAACAAAGAATAACCCTGGTGAGAACACTTGCAGTCAAAAGGAATTGAACTCGAGACTTTTCACTCTCACATTAGTGAGAGACAATCAGACCACACATGATTAACTTAAAAAAATAATTTTTATAAATATATTCAATCAACTAATAAAATGTAATTTTCTAATTAGCTTTAACTAAGGTTGTTCTAGGATATCTCAAACTTTATCAAGAGTGTCATCGAAAATCTCTTTATTCTCCCCTGTTTCTCACATTTATGTATAGAGTAGATTACTTTTAGTTCTTATACTCTTCATATTTTTCTCATGCTTTGATATATGTTTTTTTTTATGTTTACATTTAATTTATTATTATTAAAGACTATAATTATATATTTTAATTTAATAAATTGATGGTATAGTGAGAAAATTACTTTTTTAAAATTTATTGATCTGAATATTACGTATACATACATAAAGTTAATACTATATGTAATATTATTATATATAACTGTGTTAATAGTAACATAAATATTTAAACACATGTAAAGAATTTTTATATTAAATTTTGACGAAGGTAAAAAATTATAATAAATCAAATACAACTTAAATGATGAATATTCATATTATATATTATAGATATTAATAAACATGAAATTAATAAAGTTATATACTTTATATTTTTTTATTTTGTCAAAAAAATCATAATTATCTTTTGTTACATTTTTGTATCTGTAATACTGTAAATTAAGGTAACTGTAACAGTCCAGCCCATGGTAGATATTGTCCGCTTTGGGTGCCAAACCTGGCCTGAACCCTCACGGTTTTGTTTTTGGGCCAGGGAAAACCTCCGTTTTTGGGCCAGGGCAAAACCTCCGCTCTGCCAGCCCAAAACGCGTCTACCATGTTCAGGTTTGCCACCCTTTATGGTATAGACTTCCACCTTGTGCGTAAAGCCGATGGGGATTCGTCCTAAAGTTTGTGCCCCAAACCTGGATGTCACATACAGCCCCCCCTTTAAGGACTCAAGCGTCCTCGCTAGTTTGCCCCCACCATCCGGCCAGTAGGGACAAGGCTTGGCTCTTGAATAACCAAAAATTGTAAAAACAGCCCAAAGCCCATGGTAGATATTGTCCGCCTTATTGGTGCCAAACCTGCCTGAACCCTCACGGTTTTGTTTTTGGCCCAGGAAAAAAACCTGCCGCTCTGCCAGCCCAAAAGCGATTCTTACCATGTTCAAGGTTGCCACCTTTAGTGTAATAGGACCTTTCCACAAGGTTGCCACCCTTTATGTATAGGACTTCCACCTTGTGCGTAGCCGACGTGGGATTCGCCTAAGGTGTTGTGCCCCAAACCTGGGATGTCACAGTAACAAAATAAAAGATAATTTTTAATGTGCTAATTATCATTATTTATGCTTACAATTTTTTTGAAAAATGCATAGATCTAATTATTTTTTTTAATAAATTTTATTTTTTATTGATATTTTAAAGTTTCAGTTATTATAATTTATGCTTATAATTTTCTTTTATTTGATTAATTTTTCTACTTTTGTAATATATTATATGTAAAAGAATTAATTTACGGATATGTATAACGAGTACACGTACAACGCGCGACCATAAAAACTAGTAAAAAATTCAAATAATTGATATTTCAAAAAGAGTGATAAAAAAACTAAGCTCATTGGAAAAAAGACTAAATTATTACTTATAAATTTAACAATCAAATTTAACAATCTACCTATACTATATATAAATGCGGAAATAGGAGGGGGAATAATGTGATTTTCAATATCGCCTTTAATGAAATTTAGAGTATCCTAAAATAGCTTTAGTCGTAGTCAATTCAAAAATTATATTTTATACCAATGAGCGTTTTGATGAGTGGTTCGACACCCTTCTCTCTTAGATAAGATTGTGTGTTCGATCCTCATGGATGGAGTAAATACTCGTTAGGAGCACTTTATCCCTTCTTGGGTAGACCTGGTGTGAGCAGGATTTAGTTTTAGTCCAGTGAACTCGAGATACAAGTGGTTAAAATAAAAAAATTATATTTTATTACTTGATTGGATATAATTTCTAAAAATTATTTTTTAAATAAATAAATATATATACTACATAAAAGAAAAAAAATATACTCTTCTTTTTTATGGTTGTGGGAAAAATTGTAGATTTATTTGGAGAGGATATAACAATTCTTTTATGTAATTTTTTTTATTACTTAATTAATTTATTTATTTATTTTAAATTTGCAACTTATAACAATAGAGAAACAAAATAATTGAATAAACTCATTAACTAACTAATACTGGATCCTAGCATGATTTGCTTTGCAAGTTCATTTATTGATTTAACTTTAATTTTTTTTTTGTGCATCAAAATCAAATTTGATTAAATTATAGCATTCCCAGGGTTACTTTTGGAATTCAAATTGGTATTTTTTTAATATAATTTATTTCTTGTTATACGTTGAGTTCTTAAAAGAGTTTTATTCTTAATAAAAATTTATTTTTTTGTATTCTTGTTAATATAATTTATTTTCTTGTTTATTACGTGAGTTTCTTAAAAAGAGTTTTATCTAATAAAAAAATTTATTTTTTATTTGGTTATTAAAATTAATTTGCAATCATATCACTTTAATTTATTAAAAAGATTGTATATCTCCCTTGCAATAAATAAATATTTTAGTAAGAGAAATTTATATCATCCTTTACAATAAATAGATTTTGACCTATTGCATTGGCTTAAGAATTTTTAATTCTTCTTAATATTTTTTCTCTTGATATTTTCTAAAATCTATTTGACTTAAAAAGAAAATAGTATTTAGAAAACTTGAAAAAAAAAAACTTAGAACTATATACTTCTGTTTGCGAATACTGCTATTATGAAAAAGATTATTTTTAATTATTTATATAAAAAAAACTAAAAATTTTATTCATGATAATATATTTTATATATAATATATATATATATATATGTGCGTGTGTGTGTGTGTGTGAAAGTTGAAACAAAAATAAAATTCAACATGTTCTCCCTTTCAACCTTTTATTTTTTCTTTTTTACATTTTTAGATTCTATTTTATTTGTCTACCGTTTGAGTCCATGTTAAATATATTTTTAAAATTTATTTATAACTAGATGGAAGATAGCGCATTTGTGTGGGTTGCTTTATTACTTTACATTAAAGATTGCTGTTTTTATTATACATATATAAATTAATTTTTATAAAAAATAAATCTTACAACTTTGTAGAAATAAAAAGAAGTAAATAAAAAGTTTAAAAAATAAATATAAGCTAAAATAGGGTAAATGCATAAAATAAAAAAATCATAGACAATAAACGTTAGTTAGATTTTACAAATAAGCCAATAACAAAAGAACAAAAAAAAAAAAAAAATAGATAATCTTATATATATATATGTGTGTGAAAGCTGAAACCAAGAGAAGATTCAGCGTTTCGTTTTACATAGAGTATTGTATTTTTATATTTTTTGAAAAATTTTAAAATTTTTTTTATTTCAAAGATTAAATTCAAAATTAAAGTAAAATTTAAAATACCTCCAAAAATCAACAAGTCTTTCATTTAATCAATGGCAAAATGAAAAAGAAGAAATATGGATATAATAAAATACGCAAAAAAATTATAAAGTAAAATTCAAAACACAAAAGCAGAGCAAATCTCAAACAATCATCCAACCAGTGCTTGAATTCAATTACTCTCGCAAATAATTAAATTTCAAAACTATTTAAATGGATAAACATAAACTCTACAAAAAGAAATTTAATTAAAATAACAAATATATAAAAAATTGAAATATAAAAATATTAGTAAAAAACAATTGAAATATAAAAATGAAACAAATAAAAAAAAAGACAACATTACACTGTTTGGCAAGAAAATTGTTTCCACTTCTTTTGGCCTCCTCTATTGACAACCAGTTGACATCAAACCCCTATTTGACTATCAGTTGAACCCAGATTTTTAAAAGTGAAAATTTTCTCCTTTTATTTCTCAGGAAACAAACAGAAAAAAGAGGAAAGAGAAGATATAGTTATCATATCAGTTAGGATAAAAAGCTAATATGGGAAGAAGGATTCTATTAAAACCTTCACCCTTTTTATCAGATTTTTCATTAACACCAGTTTCTAAAGCCATGTAAAGCCTGGATATTTTGTCGAAATATTTGTTATATTTTATCAAGAGAATTATTGGGTTCCTAAATCAAGAATTGTTGAAATCCTTATTTGAAATATTTGAAGGGAAAATGTAAATTCGTAGAGAATTGAGAGATTGAGAGACCATGAGAAAGAAGATGGAGGAGGTATTGAGATTGTTGTAGAGAAAGAAGGGAAAAAAAAAAATGAAAAGGTAAGTTAAAATAGTGTTTTAGTTATTTTCATAAATAAAAATATAAAATTTTAATTACTTAAATGTCACGTTTTGGAAGCAAATTTCCACCCTGACTATCTTTCCAGTGCGTGTGTTCTCAAATGCACTTGTCCAACGTGGATAAGTGTGTCATTATTGTAAAAAATAAAATTCAGAAGCCATAAGATCATTTTGAAAATTGAGAGAGCAACAATAATTCTTTTATTGGTTTTTATTTTTCTTTTATTTTTGTTTCTCTTTCCTTTTTTCCCTACTTTTCTTAGTTCTTATTGGTTGATTTTAGATCTTGAAGCTTCCTATTGGTTGTGCAATTTGTTTACTAATAAAGTTTTAATTATTATTATTATTATTATTATTATTATAATATTACCTTATTAATAAATCTCTACTTAGTGAAAATAACTCAAGTTCTTTAAATAAGACGAATGTTCGATTCTTATAATGCGTTTAAGTTCTTTAAATAAGGCGAATGTTCGATTCTTATGATGTGTTCGATTCTTACGAATCAAGAAAATATTGAAAATGCTTTTTATTATTAGTCTAATGCTATATATATATATATATATATAGTAAACATGGTATTATAAAGTAATCAAAATGATTGAAATTCTACTATAATTAGTTAATAGGACTTTCATTATGCCATTATGGGCTTGAGCCCGATGTAAATTTCCTTTTGAATTAAACTTGCTTCAGCTTTCATTTGGGGTTTTGTATAGTAAAAAATTATTTTTATGACATGATTAAAATGTAATTTTTAACTTATTTAAATTCAAAAGATTTTGAAATTAAATTCAAGGTATAACATAAATAATATCATCAACTACACACTTTATAATAATTTTAGTAAATTAGTGATTCAAATTTGAAATTTTTATCTTTTTCCAATTCTTATAAATTGACGGCACATACTCTTATTTTTACACTACGAATGTATTGTTTCATAGTTTTATAACCTGAACATAAGTCCAGAAAATTAAAAAAGAAAAGCATAGCGTTTGTATATATACATATATATTTTATCACCTATTATATATAATATACTAAAAAAATTAACTTACTCTTGTTTTTAAATTATGGAGTATCATCTAATTTAACGCTCTGAATAATTTTATTTTCACTATCGTAAAAAGTAATTTCCCAATGTGAAAAATTTAATGGAAAAATATATATTTTTTTCGAAATATGAAAAATGTAAATTTAATATCATACCACTAGGTAAAAAAAGAAAGAAAAGAGAAAGAAGAGAGCAACTCATCTAATCCAATACTTCCAAGAGAAAAAACATATGGAGAGTGGGTCCCATGAAAATGCATGAAAGCTACGTGTACAACAGCAAAACTGACACTCCAAACACAACAGAACAGACCCAAAAACGCCATTCCACCACACACACCTCATTACTAATTAATTACCCCTAAATCCTATTTGTATTTATTTATTAATTATGATTAATTTAGGATTAGATACACAGATAGATTAACCCATTCAGTCATCTCTCTCTATCTCTCTCACGCACCTGTTTCAATATCTAAAGTCTGGCCATTGCTCACTGCTGTGTTCTTGTTTCTTCTTTTTCCCCTTCTCTCTGCCAAAAAGAGGAAGTAACTGAAAACAGAAGAAAACTTGTGCTGTGACAGAGAGAGGTCTAAAAAAACCAAAAAAAAAAAAAAAGAAAAAAGAAAAAAACAAAATAATAGAAAAACATTTTCTGATTTTTTTCAGCTTCTATTATTTTCATTTGATCTTTGGGTTTGATGTTGATGATCTCAATGTCGGTTTCTCAGGTACTTCTCGTTCCGTATCATTATTTTTTTAAGATGTTATTGCATTATTTTGTGATAATTAACTATCTTTAATCTCATATTTTCGGAATTTTTTTGGTGAACTTTTTTAAATGTTTTATCTTTCCGATTGTAATGGAAGAACTGGGATCGGACTGACCCATGTTGGCATATGTATTCACAAATTGAATTTCATTTATACCGTGCATAAATTTGTTGATTACCGTTTTATTTGGAATAGAAGGTTTTGGGTAGCGTATAATATAAAAAATTGTTTGATTTTTCAATTGTGTATTCAGTTATTTTTGTCAAATATGAGAAATATTGAATTGGGTTGGGTAGTTATTGAAATTAGGTTGGGTAGCCCTTGAGATTCTTACAAAGTTGTCTCTTCTTTTTTTTTTTTTTTTTTTTTTTTTTTTTTTTTTTTTTTTTTTTTTTTTTTTTTTTGAACTTGTTAATGTGGAAAATTTGTTATTTGAAAATGCAAGTGTTTTAACTTTTATATGCTATAGATGTTCTATTGATTTTTCTGACGGCTGCATTTCCTTTTCCCTTCTATCAGATTTCCTCAATTCATGGTTAAAATTAGCTCTCTTTGCGCTAACTAAGCCCATGGGTTGGTTAAATTTATTGAAGGCTAATATCTGTTAGCTGAAGCTAATTACTGTGCTTTCTTGTGTTTTTCATTTGGTGAAAATCTAAATATTGGCAACACAATTCATGTGTTTTCGATGTTTTATCTATTTATGCATCCTTTTTTGGTTGTTCTATATCATGCATATCCGAGAAAAAAATGTACAACCAGAATAATAGAACATGGGGAAGAAATCTGAGTGGGTACCTTTTTAGCTAAGTCATGGTCATAGCTACTTTGGAGCATGCACTAGATGTGCCCTGAAACAGTATAATCAATCTCTGGTACGTATTATTATGAAGTGGTAATATTGTATGTAATTGGTACTGCTGTAGCGATGAACCTTGGGGATAGTAAATTCATTTCATTACAGTGTTGGATAGGAGATCGTAGAAAGAGATGCAGTGATGCATACACTCAATTTGTTTATATTTGGAAGTTGAATTATGCTCCAAACAATATAGTGTATCATCATGAGTACTGATACTAGAAGGATTAGAAATGATCAGCGTGGAACAAATAACTATATTTGGAAGTTGAATTCTGCTCCAAACAATATAGTGTATAATCTTGAGTCCTGACACTAGAAGAGGTAGAAAATGATCGGTGTGAAACTAATAAATCTTCCAGAAGAGGATGCTGCATGATTTTTAGACATTTGGAAGCTTCACCAAGTTTGCTTTAATATAAATTAAAGAGAGAGAGAGAGAGAGAGAGAGAGAGAGAGAGTGCTTGCGAAGAACAACTATGATTGTACACGATGCAAGTGAGATAGGCTGTAGCATAATATATGTGAATAGGATTATCAGTAGCATTACCAAATGCACAATAGCATGATCAAGACAAAAGAGTGCACAATAGCAGATGATTCAATGACAAAAGAGAGAGAGGAGAGAGAGAGAAGAGAAAGCAGAGAGAGAGAGAGAGAGAGAGAGAGCTTGCGAAGAAACACTATGATGTACACGATGCAAGTGAGATAGCTGTGCATAATATATGTGAAAATAGGATTATCAGTAGCATTACGCAAATGCACAATAAGCATGATCAAAGAACAAAAGAGCTCTTTCTATATGTAGATTTACTTATAAACGCTTGCGAAGAACAACTATGATTGTACACGATGCAAGTGAGATAGGCTGTAGCATAATATATGTGAATAGGATTATCAGTAGCATTACCAAATGCACAATAGCATGATCAAGACAAAAGAGCTCTTTCTATATGTAGGATTTACTTATTAACAAATTTTAGAATCTGGACGTTATTGTATGGGAAAATTTCAAGCAATATTACCATTTGGATTAGACTTATTTTATCTTCATGATTAGATATAATTTGCTATTATCTGGTTTTTGTAAGGCTTTGTTTGACAATAGTTTTTGAGCTAGCATTTAGCATTTTGACTAAGTCAAAACTCTATTTCTATTAATTGTACCGTTCGATAACATAGTATTTATAATAGCTTTTAAAGGTTGAGAGAGCTTTTTATTAAACGTTAAACACCCTAACTTTTAGCATTTCACATATATTAATTAAATTTTTTTGACAACTATACCCATTATTTTTTTCCTTGAATTCAGCTAATAAACAACTAATGTCTTTTTTGTTATTTTAAGTTAAACAACTAATTTAACAAGTATTTTTACTGAAAACTTCTAATTTAAACCGCTATATAAATAGCTACCAGCTAAAAGCTAGTAGAATGACTAATAACTACTAAAATAACTACTAATAGGCCCAAATAAATCAGGGTGCTTTGGTGAGAGATGAGTGGAAAGGTGGAATTGAATAAATCAGGTGTTATATGCAAGTCATGATTCTTTATCATTCTTTGTCATTTATTTGTTAGCTATGTTTCTCTATCCATTTATGTTGTACTGAACTGTAGTTTGTTATTCGTGATTATACAAAGCCTGAAGCTGTAAGAGTTTCTGGCTTTAGTATTCGCCCTCAAGAACTTTGTGTAAGCCCCTGTATGGAATCAGATCAGTTTAGCCATTTCTAAAAAAAATAGATATATAAAAAAACCTTCACTAGCTTAGCTTTTAAAGTGTCAGTTTAGTTTCATCATTTCTATCAACAAAAATATAAGATGTTTGAAGGATTGTGTGTGCAATTCAGCAAGATGCTTGCTTCAGGTCTATGGTTTCAGTGTTTCATGTGGTTTTCTCGAAACTAGAATGCCTGCTCGTTACTTCTTGGATATTTTAGATGTTTGTGGTCATGGTTTTCCTTTTCTTCTCCTTTTATTTTTTTGTGGGGTCTGGTGGCAAGTTTAATGTCAGGGCATCTTGCTTGGCGCTGATGCAACCTCATTATAAAGTGCTTTACAGCCGCATTTTGAAGTGAAGGCTGAATGTTTCAAAAACGTTCTTAAACTCCTGTATTTCTTTTTTTCTTCATGTTTTTTACCATTTTCGTTTTTGCATCTTTTTCCCGATTAAATATATTATCATAAGACAATCCTGATTTTTCTGTTTCCAAAAGAACAGTTTGACTTCATGTTTATGTTTTCTGGTACTTATGACTTTATGTGCTTTAGGTATTCTGACAAATGAACTACAAGGACCACCATTTCTGCTTGGAGTATCAGTATCATTTAGCATCTGGGCCATTTTGTTAGGTGGAATATATTGGCTTTTATGCAAAGGCAACAAGGTGCCATTGATTCCTTCCCTGAAACGATTGACATCAATCAGGGATCTATTTCAAATAATACTGGTATGAGTCAACAATCTTCTCTGAATAACATGCTAAATCCAGTAGAAAATAGGTTGTCAAATAGTGCTGCATCTTATGGCGAGGTGTCATGTGCAAATGCTATTACTCACAGTGGTCAGAGCTTTACTGGATGGAATTTGGATGAATCTAGCTCAAGGTTAACTCTGCAAAATCAGGCCAGTGATGATGGTATTAAAATGGAAGAAAGGTCTTCTTCAGCAGATAGTCAAAGTGTGCTTGGCCCAAGGTCAGACGAAAGGCGATATGAACCTTCTAATATCCTTTTCTCTGGGAGAGTTAGTAATGGCGCCAGTGGTAGTTTGATTAGAAATGGGCCATTATTTTTACAGGGTTCCAGCTCAAACAATGCACTGCTAGATTTAAATCCAAATGTAGGTTATGCAGGTGGCAGTAGTAGTGCTGTTCATGGTACTGGAGCTGTTTTAGGCCCTAATTTTTTCAATTCTGGGGGATTGGAAATGGAGAAGGAATCTTCAAGTGTTTCTTCTGATGATGTTGGTCCATCTGGAACTTCTGGTTATACATTAGAGGAAACTAGTGGTGGCCCAGGTTCTTTAGGAGGTTGGGGTTTATCCTGCAAGAGAAAGGCCCTTGAAGGTACTTCTGGGAATTCTTGTCCTGGCGGAAGTTCAAGTTGCTTTCCACAGGCTGACAATGGTTCATGGCATACAGGCACTACTCATCATAATGCTTCAAGCAGTCTAACTTTATCTCTACCCTTGCGGAATTCCCCTAGCATTAGCCCTCCTGAATTGTCAAGTACAAGAATTGGTTTTAGTATGAGGACCGTAGCATCTGATGCCTTTCCTTCATCAAGTGTTACGGGAAATGAAGACCACCTGAGAAATTTTGGTTGGAGAGTAAACCCTGGACATCAACAAGAACCTCTAGCATTCAATTTATCTACAACCGGAGGCACTAGGCATTCCAATATTTGGTCAACGCACCAGTCTCCTAGACCTGCATCATATAGTGATGCCCTGGACTTTAGATCAATGCTGGCACCAAGTGCTACTCCTGGCCTGTCTCATCCTATGCGCTCTTCTTCGACATCAAGAAACATGCATCCTTTCCCTTGGAATGGATCTTCAAATTCAAGAGGCATAAATTCATCTAGTTCTCTTATCCGTGGAGAAAGTAGTGCTGCATTACAAGAGGATGTGAACTTAAGAAGCATGTCAAGAAATAGCGCAGAGCATCCTATGTTTGTGCCTACAACTGAGATGAGAAACATTGGACAAGATCCAGCAGGTTGGAGTTTGGCCACAGGAAACAGGAGCACTTCAGCCAGTGCTTCATCCAGTAGAATTGGTCCTAGTTTGAGTATTCATCCTTTGGCTGCTCCTCCCTGGCTTCCTCACCAAAATCCCATAACACATAACCAGCAAAGATTTTCAGAGTTTGCTCCTTGGTCTCTGTTTCCACCTGTGGATTCTGAGTCTGGAAGTCACAATGGTCATTTCTCCCCAATTTCTTCTGGGCCTTCTGTTTCTTCCCCTCTGGAAACAGCAATGTCTCCTGGATCTAGTGGCCAAAGTCATAATCAATCTTTTCCAAGGTCTGCATTCTTGATGGAAGGACAAGGTGATGATATTCTTGGCATGCCCCGTTCATTGAGAGCTTTAGCTGCAGATATTGAAGGGAGACATCGGCTAATATCTGAGGTTTGAATTCTGAGTACCTACTCTGCTTTTCAAATTTACTGATTGATTTGGGGGCTATGGTAGTTAGATATGATATTAACGGTTTAAATGGGAAGTACTGGTAATGCTGACATTAAATTCTAGATAACAGTTGCATGCACTCATATTAATTACATATAAAGATAAATTGACAAAGAAGAGATATGAGATCGTGGTGGTTAAGGGTTTGATGAATTGGAGAATTATGGTGAGAAGTAGAAAATTATGTGTTAGGAAGTACATAATTGAGAGTGTCAGATGGCATTCCTGGGGATTTATCTTCGCTTATCTCCACTAGTTGCTGCTTAAGAGATGTGTGTGCATGTGTGATATCAGGAGTAAATTATTTTAGAATTTAAAGTAATTTTGTAGGCAAAGCAGCATTGTTTCCTATAGATCAAGTCTGTTTAAATTTTGACTTAACATTCCTAATTAGTCTACTAGTAATATGGAGTTTTGTCCTTAAGCAGGTGTCTAAGTTTCATAAGGACAAGAAGTCCAAGAATCTAAGCAGTTGTAGGTTTAGAGTTATTTTGAGTCCATAAATACCTATACTTATCGGTTTTCCAGCAGGTGGTGTTATTCTTTGTTTGTCAGTGAACTGGAGAATTTTCAAACAGTTGGTATTATTCTCATTTATCATGTGATGCAATTGTTACATTTTCTCAATGAGAGTGAGTCCTAAAGCCTACTAGAGGGAAGCTAGTGGTTATAAGTTTGCATCAATTTTTTCAATTCTGGCCTTTTCTCAAGCTCCAACTTTTTAAATCCTACCAAGTCCTAATTTTTCTAATCAAGCCTTTCCTGTCTGCATCTTGCATTTCTTCTGGTATATTTTGATTTCAATAAATGATAGGAAGATGTTTGGAGTATCTATTGGTAGATGTTTGTTACTCTTGAACGTTGTTGTGTGGCTGGAAAAACTGCAATTTGAACAAATTTTATGAAGATTCGTAGTAGGCAATAAACCAATCAAAGCAGCCACCTTCCAAATCCTATCTCAAAGGCAAGAATTTGAAAAGGATGGAAAAAGCCATAGGATGCACAACCTAGCTACCAGATGAGCCTACGTAGTGCTTAGAAAGGCTAGAAAAACCAAAAAGCCTAATCAGACAACAGAAGTGGCAATAGAAAATGTAGGAGGATACATTGCAAGGCCTTCAAAAGTCGTTGCATCCAACTAAAGAATAGGGACAGCAAGTAAAAACAGTAAACAAACAGATTATAAAGCTAGAAGTAAGGGTCACATTGTTGCACCGCAAGAAGCTAAGTTTTGCACTGTAATAACGCCGAACCACTCTTGAGAAAAAAGGTTTCCAAGGTGATAAAAAATGAACTAGAAGTAAAATTATTTACAACTAGGTTTCGAGGAGTAGCTTTGGATACAACTATGGGCAAGGTCTAAAGAGGGTTAAAGAAAATAGGAGAGAAAAGGAAGCATGGTTACAGGTTCCAAGATTCCAAAACATCCTGAAATTATCTTGTTGTTCATATATATTATGTTCTTAATATTATGACAATTCAATGTTTGAGTTTTCAACAATAAGGGAGAATGATGCAGTTGACAAGCTCTAGCAAAACGCAAGATGGCAGGCCAGTAAATTTATATTTTTTTAACTTTATAAAGTCTTTTCCAGTCTTTAAGAGTTGCATATCATATCAGTTCTTATTTAGGTCCAAAGATGCTGGTTAATTTTTGTATTTATTTTTATTTTTATTTTGATTTAATGCAATAAGCATATTTTGGTTATATCATAGGCTGGGGTCTACTATTTTGGGTAAATTATTGAGGTTTGACTTGATATACGCTTTGTCCTTCTTGTTTGAAAACTAGATACCTTAGTCCTTAGGCTATCAACAGCAGAAAGAGCAAGATTTAGAGGGACTAAATTGTTATATAATATAATGATTCAATGACTAAAGCACAATGAAATTTTAAAATATCAAGGAATAAAATATGATTAAATCAAAAGATCAGGGATTAACATGAGAGTATGATGAAAAATATATCAAGGACTAAAGTTTAACAGCTAAACAACTTATTAATGGTTTAGCAGTAACTAATGGACTATCTAACTAATACTATTCATAGGCTGATGCTTGTCCTGCATCTGCCAATTGCACTTTTAGGAGCTGAAGATGTGGGATTTGTTAGAGTAGAGCTTTGTTTTGGGAAAATTTAGTGCAGATGGCAAAACAATAGGTGGAAATTGGATAGGGGGAATTTTTTTTTCTCCTCTTGTTTAGTGGGACTGGAAAATAGGGAGGCGTGAAACTGCAGATAAAATATTTTTTTAACAATAATATTGCAATAGAATTGCTCACTAATTATTTTTTTCAGAACATTAATGATGAAGAAAAGTTGATAAAATCAATATTTTTTTGCTCCATATTCACCCAATTTGGAGGGACGAGGTTTGGCAGGCCTAAGAGAGAATTTTTTTTGCTTTCCCCTTCACTTACACCTGTTCCCTTTTTCCCTTGATTTTCCCAAACAGGATGTAAAATCTTGTTTCTATGTTGATGCAAATGTATTGTTGGTGAGGCTGTATTGTGGAGAAATGTGCTAAAAGGGAAACATTGATCTTCATTTTGTTTTACCCAAAAAATAAGGGGAGCTAGACAAGTGTTGGCATGCCAAGCTTGATGTCCTGTAATTCCCGTGCAGTGATTGCAAATGTGGACTAAGAATAGATTATCTGAAAATGTAATACATATATATTAGTTTGACATCTATGCCTACTTAGAAATGTTAATCAATTTTGGAGCACTACAGAACATTTTTTTTTTTTTTTTTCGCTTTTGTTTGTTAGATTGAGAGAATGAACAAGTTTACTGGGAATTAGGAGTTCAACATTTGATTAGTGTCCCAAATGATAAAATAAAGCATGCAGTTTGATGGTTGAGTCCTGTTTGTTAACTTAGGGACTTTACAAGAGCAAACAGTATCACAAGCCATTCAAATAATCCATCCTTTTTCCAGGCAAGCAAAGTTGGTTCAACACAAATACTAATACTTATTTGCAATAGACTTCTTTCTTGGAGATGTCAAACAATTTGTTTGGTTAGCTAAACTGCACTAGGAATGAGATTAATTGCATGACGGACATCTCTTATTCTTGTGTTTTCTTTTGGCAACTCAATGCTATCAATATACACGAGCAAATACTTCTGCAAAGAAAAACAATCTTCCTTTGTTTTTCCACTTTCAATATTCCAATCTTCTTGTTCTTCTACTTTAGGGTTAGCAATATCAAGTTGAATAATAATAGTTTCTCCTTGGATAGGTACTATGTCGACTTTTGCTCTTCCTCATCATAATACTCATCATAAGATCCTTATTGCCTTTGCTATTTTCAACAGGAAAACAAGAAACTTTTTTTTGTTTTTTCCTTCACTCTCCTTAGGGTGATCAACATCTATCAATGTTGTTCTTTCCCAAACTAATAATTCTCCTCTGTGTAATTTTCCATGAAAATTAGCTATTTCAATATTCACTCCACCACCATTTGAATCAAGGGCCTGTGGTAACTGCTCTTTCAATCCACCTCGTGCTGCTTGGTTTGAGTGTCCAACTTCATTAAAAGGGTTCACTGTTCACATCCTCGATTGCTTCATCAATCTGAAGATTCTTTGGAATCTCGAGTTGTTGTTACCTTCTGGAATCTCTATTTGGGCTTCCAGAAGTTCCTGACGCTGCAAGGCTTGTGCAGCCCAGGTCAAAACCTGACTTTTGCCTCTACTAACCATACTTTAGAATGGAAAAAGAAGATCCTAGAGTAGAGTTTAGGGTCTTTTGCGTCTGATACACTTGATGCCGTGGAAAAAATTTAGGACGCTTAGTTCTCAACAATTAGGCTAGAATAGGGTGATTGTGGTTGGAACAGAATAACATAATTGGTTTCAAAGAAAACACTGGATTTAAAATTCCAAATTGAAAGTGAAAAATACCACAAATAAACTAACTTTTGTTGCCATATTTATAGTAGTTGGGACGAATCCACTAAAAAGTATACCTAATTAGTTAATATTCTATTAAATAGGAATCCTAAATAAAGAAGGAAACCTGAATATTCCTAATTAATTAACTTAATATACAGGAATCCTAAAGAGAAAAGAAGAACTAAAAAAGCTTCTAATTTGACTTGGATGCTCCTGCATCATTGAGAGTTAAACTATCTGGTTGACATTCTAAAGAGATTGGGTTGCTATTGTAACAGTTTGTTTAGTTGATGAAATGTTTTAGTTGTTATCAAGAATTAACTGCTTATGTTCTCTATGCACCAGATTCGTCAAGTCTTGAATGCCATGCGCAGGGGTGAAAGCCTACGAATTGAGGTTTGATTCAATTTAAGCTGATTAAGTTTTCTACAATCATGGCTTTGTTCTTGCCTAGTTGTCATATCACATTTGAGTTACCATAAGAGAGCTGAGCAAAGCTGTAATTGCAGTAGAATAATTCCTTTGAAATACATATACGCTTCATTTGTTTTGATGCTGGTGCGTACAGGAAAATTTGGTCAAAGACCCATTTTCAAAACCAGAAGTCCTATATACAGACTTAAAGGAAAGAACTTGCAGGATAAAAAGGGGGAAAACCAAATTGTTTATTGACCCATGCCAATCACAACCATGACAAGCTATCATTTTTCTTTGTGCGATGTTTTATTCTGTTGGAGTTTTAAGTAAAATTAGTTGAAATAATATGGTGTCCAGATGTTTCATTATCTTACTTATTGGCAGAACATTATCTTTTATGTGCTTTGAATGCTATTGTCCCAGAATTAATTTCCAGTTGATATTAATTTCGATGACCAAATAGTAGAAAGTCCTCAGAATTCTGCATGAAATGATTTTTGCGACAAGTTCTGTGATGAGCAAATGGACAAGTTTGTGGTTTGTGAGCTTTGAAATGCCTCTTCTTTTAATATGTGAAATTATTATTATTATTATCTTTTTTTTTTTTTTTTTTTTCAGAATTAATTTCCAGTTGATATTAATTTTCGATGACCAAATAGTAGAAAAGTCCCTTCAAGAATTCTGCATGAAATGATTTTTGCGACAAGTTCTGTGATGAGCAAGGACAGTTTGTTGGTTGGTGAGCTTTGAAATGCCTCTTCTTTTAAATATTGAAATTAATTATTATTATTATCTTTTTTTTTTTTTTTTTTTTGGGGGGGGGGGGGGGGGGGGGGAGGATTTTTTATGGGGGGGGGGGGGGGAGGATTTTATTTATAATAAAGCTTCAATCATAATGGTAATAGCTTAAGTTGGATGAACTGCTTAAAGAATTTAGGCCATTGCTTTTATTTTATAATATTTAGATGTCTGCAGGCCTTATTGGCTTCTTGACTGCGTGAGACTTGGGCCAGGATCTCATTTTCTTTTCTTCGTAATCCACATTTTTACTTGTAGTGCTAGTGCATGTCTGTAGTTGGTAAGATAGAGCTGATGACCTCCTGCCTACACCATAACAACTCGCACCATGAATAGGGAAATGAAATATTGCACAATCTGGCAAATGCTGGTACCTCATGTATTTTGACCAGTGGAAGTGCTTAACAGTTGGTCCATGAGGCATGCGCAAATGAGAGTTATTTAGGCAGATGCTTAACTAAAGATGCACTTTTGACCAGGGAAAGTGCTTGCGTTCTTGCCATTTGACATTGTTGATAAGTATTTTATGTGACATTTGGCTTCTATTCACTCAGGATTATATGCTTTTTGATCCATTCATACATCATGGTATGGCCGAAATGCACGATAGGCACAGGGATATGCGCCTTGATGTTGACAACATGTCTTATGAGGTAAAAGTTGAGCAAATAATTTGCCTTCTGGTCAATTCACATTGACTTTTCTAATATAAAGAATGGATTCAGGAATTGTTGGCATTAGAAGAACGTATAGGAGATGTCAGTACTGGACTAAGTGAGGGAACAATTTTCAAGTTAATGAAACAGCAAAAATATATGTCCATGATGACAGAATCTCCTGCAGATTTGGAGCCATGCTGCATCTGTCAGGTAGCCGCTATGTCCTACTCCATCATGTGGTGAATTAAGAAGAAAGAAATATATGGTTGCGTTTAATAAATTTTTTAGCTGATTTATTAGTTTCTATTTTTGATTTAATTTCCTTCTGTAACCCTGTCATTGCAGGAACAATATACTGATGGGGATGATATTGGTACACTGGATTGTGGGCACAACTTCCACATTAATTGCATCAAACAATGGCTAATGTTGAAAAACCTGTGCCCCATTTGTAAGATGACAGCCCTGCCTACATAAAGAGGGGAAAAAAAAAAAAAGAATCAGGACCTGAGAATTTTATTTTCTTGCCAATGGATCATCAGTCCAGCAACTGGATGGATGATATCCTACATACATCTCATTTGGTTAAAAAAAAAAATATAAATATATATATTTATGAACTGATGTACTGCACAATTTGATGTGTGGAGCTGCTGTCATAAAGTTGCAGCACGAGTGATAAAGGGTTTGTCCATCTTCAATGCTCTATGACAATTATGAATATATATGAACTAATAATATGGATGACTTTGTCTATTTCTTTCGAAGCATTCATTTCTTACATTATGCCAGTTCGTAGGGGTGAGTAAAATAGCCAACCGAACTGATGCCATTGGGTTCAAATGGGTCAGTTCATCAGTTCAAATGGCTCGGTTCAAAAAAACACATGAGCTGAACTTCGGTTGACAGTGATTACTGACTGTAAAATCACTAGCGTATGTATTTGTTTATTTATTTATTTATTTTTTTTTATCAAAATGATGAATTACAATTTACAGTCAACTAAAATCCCTGATCCTGATAGGAAAACTAATAATACTAAGAATTTGATTTTACTAACAGGAATAAGATTCCTATTCCTTCTCATATAAGGAATATATTTTTATATGCCTATATATGGCCATTCAAAGCTATAGATTTATGACTTTCACATTTATTTTACATACTCTATTTCAGTACGAGTATTTCTATGGTTATGATGGAACTAGAGAAATTATTGCTAAGTGAATTAGTAGAAGAAGCTAAAGATATGGATGCATGTATCCTACCATTCCATGAGAGTTTCTTCAATCAACTTCTGGAAATTGAAGATGAAGATACTGAAATTGTTAAATTTGAAGATAATGCATTACTGGGTTACAAACGTATAGAAGAATTTGATATTCTTGCTTATCTTTATGAAAATTTAATCGATGTTATGGAAATTTTTGGTGATTTTTCTGCCAATCTTTTTGCACCTGTGCCCTTGGAACAATCTAATGATCTTGACATTGCAAGATTATCAATAACTTGCCTTCTGATGAAATCTTGTTCATAGCGCTTGTAGGTTACCATTATGATAATATGAACAAGAACAACAAAGATCATCATCAGCAATACATTAAGGAAAAACAAAATTAGCCCTTCATATTGAAATCTTCTAAAAGTTTGTCTTCATTCGATTTTCTTGTAGAGTTTGAAGTTTCTTGATTCTTCTTTTCTATCGTTTGCTAGTATCATTCCAGTCTAGGATTTCTATTTGCAGAGTCTTGTAGGGTCTGCTAGTGTTTTTAACGTTAATTATTCTATACCGCCTGATCGATATGTAAGCATCGGAAGCTCTAACTAATGGATTTTTTCTTGTGGAAATTATTCTTTTTAATTCTTTTCTAATTTTTTTTTTTGATAAATAATTATGTTCTATAGTTCAATCTGCGGCTTCTGCATATTCTAATCTGGTATGGAATTTTAATTGGAAGTGGCAAGGTCCTCAACGAATTCGGTCTCTTTAATGGATCTTATATCGCAATTGTTTCCTTACCAGCAGTGAGAGACAGAGAATATCTTCTTTGATGATGCTTGTATTATTTTAGATTCTTAATTAAGTTTAGGGCCCTAATGAGACCATAATTAACGTTAATATTTGGCTAGAATTTCCTGTTAGACAACCAAAATAGACTATTTCCATAAAAAGCCAATTTAATTAATTAGCAATGTAATTAACAAAACGTGGAAAAAGAAACAAATAATAATAAGAAATATAAGAAATAATTAAAAAAATATGACTTATAATATATAATTAATATACCAATTAACTAATTAACTCCAAACATGAAAAGACCAAGCATTCTTCATCTCTTCTTCAAATCTTTCGGCATTACGGCCACCACCATTGCTATTGCTGCCTTCCACAAAAGTATAATACCTCAGAGAAAAGCTAAAGTCAAGACAATTTGATAATATGTAATAATAAAACATATCAAAGAAATGTATAAATATATATTGAGGAATATTAAATTTCTAGATAATCTTTAACTGACAGATACTAAAAATCTCCGTTATTCTTATCCAAATATAACCGGTCTTTTTCTAATATAAATACTTCTAACCAAGCTCTAGAAAAAGTCAAGAAAATTAAACAATCTAAACCTAATTTTCAATAGTTAACAAATGATGTGATTAGCTTGAAACATTCGCTTCAATTTTATTTTATTTTATTACATATAAAAAACCACGTCTAGAGTTTAAGATTTTCTGAAAGAAAAGGAGTAAGTTGTGAAATAGAAAAACCAGAGGAAAATAAAATCTAGTTGAATTAAAATCGAGAAATCATGTTTTCAGGGATGTTTATGCGGAGCCAGACAAGGCAATGGCATTGAAGCAGTTAAAGACTCATGTGGCCATATTCGGTGTTTGGGTCACCGTTGTCTGAGTCGCTACTTACGTTCTCCACTACCTCTTCGATGAAAAAGATGAGCTCAAGCTTGAATTCTAGGCTACTTTATCTCCCTCGCAAGGTAATTCACGGTTCAGTCTTATTTTATCTACAAACTATGGTGTCATTGAATTATGTTAAGATTTAGGTGCGTAGCATTTGTCCAAATTAGTGTTTTTTCCTAATTCTGAAAATCGTGCAATGATTGATTTTTTATCTAGGATAAGATTCAAAAAAAAAAAAAAAAAAAAAAGTTTATTTCCTAAAATTCTGAAAATCGTGGCAATGTTGATTTTTATCTAGAAAAAAAAAAAAAAAAAAAAAAGCTAAAATTTTGTTTATTTGTCTCGTTTCATGTGTGAATAGAGGTTTTACTCAACGTAGGAATGAAATTTTGGAATATGAATGCACAAATAAAACCTTTAATATCAATATCTAGGTAAAGCTTGAATACTCGCCGTTGACTTTTACAATCCCAATTTGATTAATTTATTTTTTTTCAAAACTTCGAGAAAACGTGAGATTGGATTTCCTTTTTCTGGGCTTTTGTCTCATATACAAGGCGGAATCTTTACAAGATAACGAGAAACTGCTTTGAAAAGAAGCCTAACTAGATTAATAAACTAATATGGAGTATTAAAACTTATTTATAGAAAATCAAGATATTGACTTGACCAAATTCAGTTTACAGTTTCGTTTACGAAACCAATCAACGAAAAATAGTTTTTTTTTTTTTAAATGAAGATAATTCTAATTATTGAAAAAAAAAGAAAACAGAAAATTATTGAAAAAATAATTTTTTTTAAATGAAGATAATTCTAATTATTATTGAAAAAATAATTTTTTTTAAATGAAGATAATTCTAATTATTGAAAAAAAAAGAAAACAGATATTATTTAAAAAATTATTAAAGTAGATGCACCTGTACGTATGGGTTGTAGTTTAGTTAGTAACGCAGGTTGACCGTGTGGAAAAAACTCTCGAATTCGATTTTTACTAAACACACATGCAAGGAGGGATTTTAACTGTGATTAAGCCCCTACCTAGATTATTAGTATTTGGTAATAGAATCTGGATGTTGGTGGTGTATAAAAAAAAAAAAAAAGTAGATGCTCCCATAAACCAAATGTAACCAAGTCTAGTCCTAAAATCAATTAATAAATTCAACCATAGTTAAGTCATAACAAATTACTAATCTGTGCAAGTTGGATCCAATCTTCAAACATAATAAATGCAATCTCGGAAGCATCAGGGGATCGTTATACCATTACTGTTGACTATCCTAATTTAGAGATCAAGATGAGCACAGATTCTTCTGTAACCTCAATCAGTAGGAGGTAATCAAATTAGCAATTTTCAGCTTTTAGTAGTAAGTAATAACTTGGATGTGTTTGTGTTTAACTACTTGTGGTTGCAGGCTGGATGGTAAGGTGGCTTTGATAACAGGTGGAGCTAGCGGAATTGGGGAGAGCAGTGCAAGGCTATTTGTCAAACAAGGAGCTAAGGTTGTCATTGCAGGTGAATTGTTCTTCTTGTCTTAATACTTTTTAGCTAATTCTTTTCAAAATTTCTGTTGTTTTTTTTTTTTTTTGGAAGTCTTTGCCTGGATTCAAATCTAGGATCCCTAAAAGATTTCAATGGTTCTTTTATCATTTGCTCCCTGATATTTGAGTATAATACTTTCCTCTTCTTTTCTCGACTTTAAAACTCTATTTGAATTGAGCTGTTTTTTGAAAGAATTAAAATAGCTGAGGAAAATAGACGTGGAAAATAAATAATAAAATATCAATGAATAAATTTATTTTCTTTATTCATTATTTTTCTTCGTCATCCAAACACAAGGGTACAAACTGACAATGTAAAGAAAATTAACAATTACTTATTATTTCCTTCGTTATTTTTATTTCTCTTCTTTCCAAATAGAGTGTTATTTTGATTCATTTCTCTTCTCTTTAATATGGCAAGTGTGATGCCACTGTTAGAAAAAATGAATAACAAACCATTTGAGACATAGTTAGCAATATCTTTCAGGATTATTTTTGTCTTTTTTTTCATAGGGCAAAAATTTTAAGGGTGATCTCTCAAATTCAATGGACACTACTAGATAGAAGAACGGATGGAGGAAAAGATACAAAGGAAAATAAGAAGAAAGAAAAATTTTGAAAATATTTTTTTTTCTGTTTTATTTGGATATAGGAGGAAAATAAAATTATTTTTCCTATACTGGAACATGTTTGGAGGGAAATTTTCCTAAAAAAAACTTATTTTCCTTCTCTCTTTATTTATTTTTTTTCTCTTCCCAAAGAAGAGGAAATCAAAACAAAATCCTCTCTTATTTTCCTACCATTTTTCCTTCCTCCTTTATCCAAGTAGGGATTCCACACAATACTGAGCATTTCGTTATTTTGATTTAATATGTAATTGTTACAGATATCCAGGATGAGCTTGGCCAGTCTCTCTGCAAAGAGCTTGGCTCAGAAGAAATCATCTCCTATATTCATTGTGATGTAACAAATGATTCCCATGTACAAAACGCAGTGGACTTGGCTGTATCCAAATATGGAAAGCTCGATATTATGTTTAGCAATTTCCCATGTACAAAACGCAGTGGACTTGGCTGTATCCAAATATGGAAAGCTCGATATTATGTTTAGCAATGCTGGAATTGCAGGAAAATTAGATCCTAGAATTTTGGCTACGGAAAACGAAGATTTTAAAAGAGTTTTTGATGTCAACGTCTTTGGTGCATTCTTGGCAGCCAAACACGCTGCCAAGGTCATGATTCCTGCTAAGAAAGGTAATATAATTTTTACTGCAAGTGTTGTTTCAGTAACTTGTTTGGGGGCTGCACATCCATATGTTGTATCAAAGCATGCTTTGGTTGGTCTGGCTAAGAACTTGTCTGTGGAGTTGGGTGAATATGGGATAAGAGTTAATTGTATTTCTCCATTTTTGGTAATAACCCCTCAAGTAAAGAGAACAATGGAATTGCCAGAGAAGACTATTGAAGAGGTAACTTATGCAGCGGCGAACTTGAAAGAGGCTATATTGAAACAAGAAGATATAGCAGAGGCAGCTGTTTATTTAGGAAGTGAGGAGTCGAAGTACATTAGTGGGATCAATTTAGTAGTTGATGGAGGTTTTAGTCTTACTAATCCCTCATTTGCTATGGCAATGAAAAACCTCTTCTCTTGAGTTACTTGTGCTTAATAACCTAATCTTTTTAATGTTGAGTTATTGTTATTGTGCAAAATAAAGTTTACTTGTCAGATAACAAGTTTTATTTTCATTGTCTATGAAGAAATTGCACTCTAAAAAAGGAAGCTTTCTTGTTATGCAATATGGAAAAACTTGTGTTGGTGCATTAGAGCTTCCATCGTCTTGTAAGTCGTTGAAAAAAAAAATATTTATGTATTACTGAAGTATGTATGACACTTAGGCTTAAAGTGCCACGTAAGTAAGGCTTACAATTGTGAAAAAAAGAAATACAATTCAATTCTGGAATTGCATTTTATTTTCAATCTCAATCAAAATCATGTCCTTTTCGATACTAACCTAACCTCTCAGTCGAAGGAGTAAACAAGTTGGAATTATGATGAAGTGACTTGACAATGGAGTTATTATAGAGGAATGAAAAATGATATTGTAATTATCATCCAACCCAATCTCAAATTGAAATCAATTCAAATTTATTATATCATTTCTGCACATAATACATAAATAGACTCCACCTAAATTCGCTAGCTCAATTTCTTTATTTAAAAATTTTGAAGTATGCTATAATTGAATCAAACTAACTTTTCAATCAAAGATTAAACAAAAATATGAGTCGTGATATTGTTATTGAATAAAATTTCAATACATGTTTTAAGTAATGAAGTAATATTTAATCATGATAATATGCATATTAAACTGCAGTGAGAATATATAGTTTGCAGAATTCATCATTTCTTTGAAATTTCTTTTTTTTTTTTTTTGGAAAATAAATTTCCAAGAAAATAATTCTATAGATGCTAAGCCTCCGTTTGTTTTCGTAAAATAACTTGCTGAAAAATATTTTAAAATAACTTGCTTGGAAAAAAATTATTTTTCAAATTATTTATTTCTGTTGTTTGGTTTGTAAAATTTGAAAATTAGTTAAAAATATTCCGTTTGTTTTCGTAAAATAACTTGCTGAAAAATATTTTTCAAATTATTTATTTTCTGTTGTTTGGTTGTAATATTGAAAATTAGTTAAAAATATTAAAGTTTTTATTTCATAAAACCATAAAAAATATTAATAATAATAGAAATTTTATAATTTAAAAATTTATTGTTTAATATGAAAAGAATGAAAAAAAAATATAAATTATGAAAGCCACTGGTGGTCAGTGGTGGTGGCCGTCGGTAGCCGGTAGTGGTGGTCTGTGATAAATGGTAACTAGTGGTAGTGATTATGATGATTAATAAATTAAAAAATATGGATTTATAAGGTTTGTTAATGTCTGAAAAATATTTTACTCTCTCGAAAATGAGAAGTTGTTTTCCTTACAAAATGACTTAATTTTCTTTTGACCAGGAAAATATTTTCCGTTAACTTATTTTTCTGAGTACTCTAAACAACGAAAAATTATGGAAAATATTTTCATGTAAGTTATTTTATGGAAACAAATGGAGCCTAAATTTTTATATTTAGTTATAGACAATATTTTTTTCCTTGAACATAAAGATAAAAGTATTTAATCAATTTATATAAAAAAATAAACATAATAATAATATCTTTAGTTTATGTATATTTTCTTTAAATGATATTCTATTATGTTATACAAATATAAGTATTAATGGAATAACAAATTTTCTAATAAGGACTTATCATAAACTATAATTATTGTAAAAATTAATTAATAAATATAACGTAAAACAATTTAAAAAATCTTCTTTAAAACATATATTATCCAAAAAGTATTTTGTCATGTGTATGGTAAAATAAAAATTATTTCCATAAATCAAAAATATTATTTATCTAAAAAATATAACATTCATGTATTAATTAATCATTAAAATATATTTCAGAAACAATGAGTTAAAAAATATATATGTTATTTCTTTCGACCTCCTATTCTTGCAAATAATGTTGATTGGTCCTTGCAAAAAAAAAAAAAAAGAAAAAAATGTTGATTGGGCTGTTGTGTTTAGAACGGCTTCATGGGTGATCTGGAAAAATCGTAATGATTTTGTTTTTTCTGAAAACTCATTTCCTATTTCTTATCTTGTGCAGCAGATTCATCGGCGCTCTACGGAATTTTCCTCTGCTATGAGTATTCGGTGTTTTAATTCGAACCCAGTTGTGAGTTGCATTCGTTGGATTTCTTTCGTCCTCCTAATGTTTCTTGCATTAAACTTAATACTGATGGATCTTTCTTGCCGCATTTGAACAGAGCTTATGGAGGTAGGTTATGACGAAATAGCTTGGGGCTTTGGTTTGGAGGTTTTTGTTTGGGTACTGGACTATTATGCTCTTAACAGGCTTCAATAATAATAATACAAAGAATTTGATTCTACTAATAGGAATAGGATTCCTATTCCTTCTCTTACAAGGAATATATTTTTAGATGCATATATATAGCCATTCAAAGCTATAGATTTATTCCTTCCCACATTTATTTTACATACTGAAACAGAGTATGGGTGTTTCCAAGGATATGATCAGTCGGGATATGGAACTGAATGAATTGTTGCCAAGTGAATTAGGAGATGTTGATAAAGATATGGATACATGTATCCTACCGTTCGATGAGAGTTTCTTCAATCAACTTCTAGAAATTGAAGATAAAGATACTGAAATTATTGAATTTGAAGATACAACATTACCGAGTTCTAGACTCATAGAAGGATTTGATATTCTTGCTGACCTTTATGAAAATTTACCCGCAGAAGTTATAGAAATTTTTGGTGATCTTTTTGCCGATCTTTTTGCACCTATGCCCTTGGAATCATCTGGTGATCCTGAGATTATCAAGATTATTAATAACTTGCCTTCTGAAGAAACGTTCTTCAAAGCACTCATAGATTATCATCATGATGATATGAACAAGAACAACAAAGATCATCAGCAACAATACACTAAGGAAGACAAAATTAGCCCTTCATATTGAAATCTTCTAGAAGTTTTTATCTTCAATCGATCAATTATTTCTCGTAGGGTTTGAAGTTTCTTGGTTTTTTTTTTTATTCTGTTGTTTGCTGGTATCTTTCCAGTGATGTGAAGTTGTGTCCATGTGGAAATTATTCTTCTTAATTTTTTCTAAGTATTTTTTTGGTAAATATAATAGTTCAATCTGCGATTCCTGTATTATCTCACAATCATTTCCTTACCAATGGTGAGAGACAGAGAACAATTCCTTGGATGATGCTTGTATTATTTGCAGGTCTAGTGTGGAGACTTCTTCTAGTATTACTATTATCCGCCATGACTGTTTGGAATCTGATTGTACTCCTATTTTACGAGCTTCCTTGGGTTCTTTTAAATCTGCAGCTTCAGAAAAGTATAGTTAATGGAGTGGCTTGGCCGCCTTGGAACCATCTTTCCTCTAGTTCATGGTTGTTTTAGTTGCTTCATGATGCTGTCACTGTGATAATGTGATAAATATCTTCGTCCTCATCCTCGATGGTGTAATAGTTAGCTAGGTTCCTTTTGTTTTATTTCTCTCTACTGAAAAAAATTTATATATAAATATTTTTGATAACTTATTTACAATTATTACTGAATAAGGAATCATGTACTTATTAAAATTTTCTTTTTTTTTTTTTATTTTTAAAATTTAAACAAGTTTTTTTTTTTTTTTTTTTTTTTTTCTTTTTTTTTTTTTTATTTTTAAAATTTAAACAAGTTTTTTTTTTTTTTTTTTTTTTTTTGAAAATTCAAATGCTTTTTTTTTTTTTTTTTTTTTTTTGAAAATTCAAATGCTTCATATAGTATTAGAATCAAGAAACATTACATCAGAAATAAAAGATGGAGGATTAATTGTCCACTCCACCGAACCAGACATGGAATTAGCAGCAGCTGGTGCAAGCGAGTCAGATACTTGATTCGCTGGTTTTTGAACAAAAACAAATGACAAAGCTTGAAACTCCCTACTGAGAGTTTGACAATTGTTAATAATCGATCCAAAATAGGAACAATCTGTATTAGCTCGTTGTAACGCCTGGATGGTTATCATACTATCACTTTCAACTTGCATGGCAGCCGAGAAGCTACGCGTCTTCAACCAACTCAACGTCTCCCTAATCGATAACACTTCTGCTAGCAAAGGGCTAGCCACCACCCCTAAATCCACCATCTTGCCATCCAAACAAAAACCATGGTGGTCACGCACAATCCAACCACCCCCAGCTCTATGAGTAATCAGATCAAAAGTAGCATCCACATTAAGTTTAAGCATACTTGAAGACGGAGATTGCTATGTTGACGGAGCTTTAACTCCTTCAGCTGCATGGTACTGCATCTTAGATGCTTGTGCAGATAACCATTCCTTCAAAAATCGTTGAGCTCTGAGAACTATCGACTGTGGGGCTGACCTGCGATTTTGAAGAACGACCCTGTTACTTGAGCACCAAATCTCCCAAGCCAATGTTGTTGCTTCCCCACAAACATGCTTAGCACAATGAGTACTAATAATCTGAAACCAATATGCAAAGCTGGCCACTGCACCCCACCAGCCAACATTTGACATTTGCTTGCACTCTCTAGTGAAGGAGCAAGAGACTAAACAATGGAGGATCGACTCATCTCCAGCATTACACAAAGGACATAAGACTACAACTTCAACTCTTCCTAGAACGTAATACCATCTTCGTGGGCAATATATCAGAGAGAGCCCTCCATATAAAATTCAAAACCTTTGCTGACAGAGACAAACTACATAGAAATCTCCAGACTAGCAGTGTATAGAGGATAAAAGAGATAAGTCTTCCTTGTAACTGTTTTCTAATAATTGTATCTGTTGTTATCTTTCTGTTTAGGTCTATTTTTATCACTTCTGTATACTTAGTTTAGGACTCTGTATCTATATAAGTTGTACTCTTAGACTTTATAATTAATATAAGTTGTACTCTTAGACTTCTATAATTTATCACTTCAATTCCCTCATATTGTATCAGCAGCCCTTTATAAATTCCTCCTAAACGAGGCAAAACCAATCCCAAATTCTACCCAAATATGTCTTTCTTTCTTTTTCTTCGTTATTCAGCTCAGGCTTCCTACCATTTTTCCAACAAACTTAAATCAGGATAATTTTCCAGTCTGGGCGGCAAAGCAAAGTTCAATCCACTTTAATCGGCTTAGGATTACTGCGGTATATTGATGGCTCTACTCCAGGCGCCGTCAGCGGCCGATTGGACAATAAACCAAAAAACCCAGCATTATACTAGCTTGGTATCGGCCCCCAAGATCACACTCTTTTAAAGCGCTCTTTTTGGGCAGCTGCACTGAATCAATTCCAGCCACTAATATCGTACGCAGAATCGGCCGGAAATGAGTCTGGATCGACTTTCCCACCAAAGTTATGCAAATACCTCACGAATCGAGGATTCTTTCTACTTGAAGGACCCAAATGGGCTTCAAAACTTCCACTTCAAACTCCAAAGGCACCAAACAGGTATCTGTTTTTCTGAATGAAATGCGAGCCATGGCTGATGAATTGGCTCTTACTCAAAACCCTATTAGTGATGAAGATTTGATTGTGCACATCATTGCTCAATTGGGAGATGAATTTGCCCCAATTGTTGCTGCTCTTAAAGTGCGTGAAACTTCAATTTTGTTTTCTGATTTGTTTGAAAAACTAACTGATTTTGAGCGATCACTAAAAGGGAAAGAGGATGCTAGCTCTAATATTGCAACAGTTCATGTCACTCAGAAGTCCACTACTAAGTCGCAAAATGTTGGTTCTGATGGGAACAACGTGAATCAGGGCAACGTGAATCATGGATACTTTTCACGACAGAATCAGGGGTTTAATTCTAATTACAGGCGCAATCATGGAGGTTATAATAATCGTGGAGGTTATCATCAGAATTCAAATCAGACTAGAGGCAGCTATCGGCACGGTGTTGTTTGTCAATTTTGTGAAATTGCAGGACATAGTACTGCTGAATGTCGAAAGCTGGCTCGTTTTCTAAAAGAGAATAATATTTCAGTTCAGCACAGTAATGTTGGTGTGTCCACTGTACCTGCTGTTAACACTACAACGGCAATGAATTCTCAACCGTGGCTGTTTGATACAACAGCATCCCATCATGTAGCATTGAGTCCCTCCTCTCTTCAAGGGTATTCTGATTACGGTGGTCCGGATGAAGTTTTTCTGGGAGATGGTAACAGTCACTCTATTTCTCACACTGGTTTTACAAGTATTAATACTGCGAGCATAATTTTATCTCTTCCAGATATATTATGTGTGCCTAATTTGAAAAGGAATTTGGTTTCTATTGCTAAATTGTGTCGAACTAACAATGTTTCTGTTGAATTTTTTGCAACTTATTTTCTTGTGAAGGATCTGTCCACGGGGGCGCCGCTTCTACGAGGAGAGAACATTAACTAACAATGTTTCTGTTGAATTTTTTGCAACTTATTTTCTTATGAAGGATCTGTCCACGGGGGCGCCGCTTCTACGAGGAGAGAACATTTATGATATTTATTGTGCCACCTTTTCCAAACGTCCTCAGCTGAATGTTACAACAAAAGAGTCTTCATTGTCTTCTTTACATCATAAGCTTGGTCATCCTTCCAATAAAGTATTTAGATTAGTTCTCCAACAATCTGGATTTGAGTATTTGTCCAGTTCTGTTTCCAATTTCCATTGTATTTCCTGCTTTATGAGTAAAAGCCATAAGCTTCCTTTTTTTGAGAATTCTTTGACTAGTTCCAAACCGTTCCAACTTGTTTATAGTGATGTTTGGGGACCAACAAAAATGTCAATTGATGGGTATCAATACTATGTTATATTTATTGACCATTTTTCTAAATATGTTTGGTTATATCCGATGAAAAGAAAGTCTGATACTTATCATTTATTTCTTACCTTTCAACGTCTAGTTGAGAATTATTTTAATACCAAAATTGTTTCTGTTTTTTCTGATAATGGTGGGGAATATGTCAAATTAAAATCGCATTTTGCAGCTTGTGGTATTTCTCATTATACTTCACCACCTCACACGCCTGAACATAATGGTACTGCTGAAAGGCGACATAGGCATATTGTTGAGACCGGTTTATCCTTACTTCTACTTTAAATTATGCTTCTTGCCTAATACCTATTGGACTTATGCGTTTTCAGTGCAGATATATCGGTCATAAATCGATTTGCCATCGTACTGTATTTCGTTTCAAACACGTTTTTTCAAAGCTTTTTGGTCATTCTCACAGTTGTGGGAAGTTTCAAACCTTTTTGCGTTGCTTGTGTTATCCGTGGTTACGTCCATACCACAACATCTAAAATTCCAGTCAACGTTCTGTTCCATGTGTCTTCCTTGGTTGCAGATCTGCCTAATAAAAATTCTTGAAATGTCGGACTAAGCAAATTGTACTTTTCTCGTCATGTAAAGTTGGTTTGAGCCTGTTCTTTCCTTTCAAGGAGTACAATAAAATCTCATCAATTTTTCAAATTCTAGATGGAGGTGCTTACTTGTACATATGCTTCTCCCTCATTTGTTTCGCCACCGCGCTTGTGGACTCAGTTTCGGAAACGAGGTTAGTACTGTGAATGCTACACCTGCTGTTCAAAGTTTCGTCAAAATTGTCCCTTGTGATTCCGTTATCAGTTGCACTGCTCAATTGCTAGTACAGAGCCAAAGTAACAGCTGCTCGACTCAAGACCGCTGTGCCTGTTACTTCTTGTACTCCACCTCCTGAAAAACTGATTGCTTTTACGGCATTAAACAGTGATACCCAGCTCAGAAGACTATTACAGCTGCACCGAGAAACTCAAACGTGCTCGCAAACAGAAACCCAGAGGTTTTAAATTCCTCTTTTGTTAATGTTACTACAAGGTATCCACTCCCTTGCTCCCTTTCTCTCTTGAACCTCGAACGGTTCAGCAAGCTTTGAAGGATAATAATTGGCGGGCTGCAATGGATCTAGAATATAATGCTCTCTTGAAGAATGGAACTTGGGAGTTGGTTCCTAGGACAGCTGCAGTTCCGATTGGGTGTAAGTGGGTTTTCCGTATTAAACGGAAACCGGATGGATCGATTGATAAATATAAAGCCCGATTAGTGGCTAAAGGATTTTTGCAGCAACCTGGCCGAGATTATTCTGAAACATTCAGTCCAGTAACTAAGCCAGTCACAATACGAGTAGTGTTGAGCATTGCTGTCTCTAATGGCTGGTCTTTGCGACAGCTGGACGTGAATAATGCATTTTTGCATGGTACTCTTCATGAAGATGTGTATATGGTGCAGCCTTCGGGTTATGTTAATTCACAGTTTATGGTGCAGCCTTCGGGTTATGTTAATTCACAGTTTTTGAATTATGTCTGCAAATTACGGAAGTCTCTCTATGGCTTAAAGCAAGCGCCAAGAGCTTGGTACATTGAATTGACTACCTTTCTTATGCAATTGGGTTTCAAGAAGTCAAGCGCAGATGCCTCTTTATTTATCTTTGCCAAAAATGGAGTTACAACATACTTTTTGATTTATGTTGACGATATTGTGCTTACAGGGAATAATAACAAATTT